CGCAACTTCATTTTTAACCCTAGCCAGTATTCACAGAAATAAAGCCAATTTGAGGAAGATGTTTATTTCTGAGAAATAGACCACCTCTAAATGGGCGAAGAACCCAAAGGGGAAGAGAGCAGCTGAAACCGTTATGATGCCATCTTTTTGGAATTCAGTTGTGTATACTTTGAAAGCATCGGGCCCTTTAGTTTGTTGAGGCTAGTAGATGGTGATAAACCGGCTATGGGTTATATTTACAAAGCTATGGATAGGGCAAAGGAGGCTATTAAGAGTGGTTTTAATGGAAATGAGGCGAAGTACAGACCGATTTGGGAGATCGTTGATCAAAGGTGGGATTGCCAACTTCATCGGCCTTTACATGCAGCCTTATTTGAATCCATCTCTTTTCTATTACAACAAAGAGAGAATTATGCAAGATCCTGAGGTCATGGATGGTCTGATCAAAGTTATAGAACGATTCATATCATCTATCGATGATCAAGTTCAATGTTCAATCGAATTAGAATTGTACAATGAAGCAAAAGACATGTTTTCGAGTAATGTAGCAATAAGGATGAGGGGTGTTAAAACACCAGGTAATGACATTATTTATTACTTTTAGTTTTAAATTTTTAATAGACATATTTAAGTTTGAACTAGTAATATTCTAAATCATTTGTTTAATATGTGCACAGCTGCATGGTGGTCTCTTTAGGGTGTTAATGCTCTAATTTTACGAAAGTTAGCCATGAGAGTCCTTAGTCTAACGTGCAGCGTTTCTGGCTGTGAGCGCAATTGGAGTGTTTTTTAACACGTAAGTGAGAATAATTTGGTTTTTCCATTGTTAATTGAAGATTGAAAAATCCACTTTTGACTCTACATTCGTTAATAATTTTGTAGATTCATTCCAAGAAGAGGAACAGGTTAGAGCAAAAGCGTCTTAATGACTTGATTTATATAAAATATAACCAAGCACTTAAAGAGCGCTACACTCTACAAGACCAACTTGATCCAATTACTTTGGATCATATTGATGAAAGTAATGAATGGTTGATCGGAACACTCGAAGAAGAAGATGGTCAAGAAGAAAATGAGTTGGTCTTTGATGATGACGACCTCACATGGGGAGATGTAGCCAAGGCCAGTGGTGTTAGAGAGCCCATAAGGGAAACGAGAACATATGCAAGATCTAAAGGAAAGTCGCCTGCTACTCCCACTCCCACAACTTCAATAGTTTGAAAATCAGTGCAAGTGGTGGTTAGTGATGATGATGATGACACCGAAGAAGAAGAATTGGAAAAGGAAGATTGTGAGGACGTCCAAGATGAAGAGAATTTAGATTTAGATGAGGATGATGATCTTTGATTACTTATATTTACTTTTTGTTCTATTTCAAACTCTAGAATTTCTTAATGTTGCTTGTCTATATTTGGAACTAAACTTATAGAATTTGGTTGTTTTATGCATCTTGTTGACATTTACTATTTTTGTATTGATTTTTTTAAGGTAATTTATGCACTATATATATAATTTTTACTTATTTATTAAGGTGCACCCCGCTTCAATCTGGCGTCGCCTTTGTATCGTCTCTCACCTCAAGGCGATCAAAGGACTCGTCGCCTTGTGGTGCGCCTTGCGCCTCGAAAACACTGGTCACGCCAGTGGGGGTTTGCCAAAGGAGATGGAAACACGTCGGAGGGGGCTAGGCTAGGGGTGTTGGCCGGCAGGGGTGGTCTAAAGAAATAGAAAAAGAAGATAGGAAGAGGAAGAAAGAAAAAGAAAGAACTTTGAAGGAGAGAAAGAAGAGACGGAAAAATAGAAGGAAAAGAAAAAAAAATGATGTTTAGAAAGGGATAAGAATGAGTGCAAAAATTTAAAAAAAAATCAAATCAAATCAAATCACATGATATTTCCCAAGGCAATGCATGGTCTTCTTTTTCAGGCACAGTCAGCATTAAATCAGGCCTCTTTTTTGTTTCTTTTAAACAATATTTCATGGTCAGTCGATCAGTCGATATTCTCTCATTTCTATAGGCCAACCGACTGACAGTCGACCGACTTATCTTCAAAACAGACTGACCGCCTTCGGTTCGGTCGGTTTGGTTTTTTACATTTAGTTTTACAGCCCTAGCCCAAATCCCAAATTTATTGATCAGTCAACCAACAATCAGCAATGTTTGAGTTTTTTTCAAAGAGATGGTATACAAATCAGGGAATCTAGTTGCCAAGGGAGTAGGTCTAGCCCAAACGTCTTCGCAGAAACGGATTTTCCTTCCATTTCCAACCACAAACTTTGTGAAGGAGGTGAAGAAAGCCATCTTTTTCCTTATGTCAACCAAGGGCCTTCCTCATGCTTCGGCCTTTGGTGGGTTTAGTGAACCAACCATTTTGTGTCTAAACCATATAGCAGCAATGACATTGCTCAACCAAGAATCCTTTTCTTGAGTGAGTCTCCAGTGTCACTTCATTAGGAGAGAGGAGTTCCTATTTTTTAAGGAGCCTACCCCTAGGCCACCATAATCACAGGCAAAGAAGTCTTTTTCCAGCTAATTAAATGGCTACCCGCTTTATAGATTTTCCCACACCAAATGAAATCTCTCATAATTTTCTCCATCATCGAAATGATCTTATTGGGGGCTTCCATAAGAGAGAAATAGTAAATTGGGAAGCTATTAAGGACAGCATGCACCATGGTTAATCCCCAATAGAAGATAGGAAGGCTCTATCACACTAATAGAAGATAGGAAGGCTCTCAGCTTTGCAACCCAGGCTATTAGTTGCAGCCTCTATCACACTACCACTAATGCTTATGCCAATTCAGGAGGTCTTAGCCAAGTTTAGGGACAACCCCGAACCACACAAGAATACCTTGAGGATAAACCACCAATTCTCCATACATTTAATCTTACTTGAGCAGAAAAATAAGGTGTCATCAGCATATTGAAGGTAACTTCAATGTCTCCTCCCCTGAGAAGGAGTTTTCATCACCTTCCTTAAGCCACTGAATTTTATACTTTTGAAGCCACATTCTCTATTCTTGGATTGCTTCTGCCAGCCCAGCCTTATAAGATCTCTCCACTCTGCTGTCTTTAATAATCAAACCCCTTTCCTCTACTTCATCAATGACTTCTATACCATCCAGCAGTCTGTTTTTAGTACCCCTGTTGTTCCCAAACTCTTCCTTGTTCTATTTGACAATGAGGGATTTAAGTTCTTTTTTTTTTATAACTGGGAGTCGGAGCTTTGCTCCCCAATACCCAAGGGCACCCGCACTCGCCCCAAAGCCTGAACTCGGGAGACATCAAGGGTTTTTGGTATTAAGCTCACCAATAGGTGAGGGATTTAAGTATTGAAACTAAAAAGTGGTATTTTATTTATGGTTAAATTACAAGTTTAGTTCCTAACTTAACTTTTCAAGGCAGTGTCTAATATATCAACTGAACTTTCAATTTCATATTTAATAGGTCTCATACTTATTCAACATTTTCTAAAGTTCAGAGACTCATTAGACACAAACTTGAAAGTTTAGAGACCTGTAAGACACAAAGACACAAACTTGAAAGTTTAGAGACCTAAGTAGATAATTTTAAAGTTCACTGACCTATTAGATAATTTTAAAGTTGAGGGACCTATTAGCCACAAAATTGAAAGTTTAAGAACCCACTCGACACTATTTAAAGTTTAGATTAGACACAACTCTAAAAGTTCTAAAAGTTCAGTAAACTTAATTTAACCTTTCTTTATATGTAAGAAAGATCCTACTTTATTAAAATGATACCATTTGAAATCTAAGTTCTCTTCACTTTGCATTCCTCAAATGATTTTACAAATATCAAACAAGTATCCTATACAAAATAGTTATAATCAGTGTTATTTCTAAAAAAAATAACTGGGAAAAATCCAGAATAAACTAATAAGGTATTCCACATAAAAAGGTTTAAAAAGTAGATGGGATTGAATAGAGCTTGTTGGTTTATGTTCAAAGAGGTCCTTTTACATCCTCCATTTAAAGGAGGAAGGAAGATTTCTTTGGCAGACTTGCTTCTTTGCAACTTTTGAATTTGGCTCGAGCGAAATAACATAACTTTTAGAGAGGTTGAGAAATCTTGGGAGGTTGTGTGGAAGTTTATTAGATTTAATACTTCTTTATGGGCTTGTAGGGAGATTTTTGTAATTAGCAGTTAGGGGTAATTGTTTGGGTTCCTTTTGTTGAGATATTTTTTTGCATGCTCTTTGTATATTATTTCATTTTTCTCAATGAAAGTTTGGTTTTTTATTATTTTTTTTCATATAGGGTTGAAAAATCTCCTCAACTTAAGCCACGAAGGTTTAGAAGAATACCCTCCACAATAGTCATTCACAATAACAAAAAGAGCAAAATTAGAGGCCATATGTTATACAGTATCCCAATCTTTTAACGTTGTCTTCAAAACAATCTTTTATCTCTTTCCATCCAAGACAACCATTTCGACAACACTAGTCCACCCAGAAAAGGAGAGAGAAAGAAATAAAAATTCTAGATCTTTGACTAAGAAGACCGTTGAATAAGAAACCATATCATACAAGGTAATTCATTACAAAAAAACAAATTTGAGTTAGCATGAGTTACAAAAAGACTGCTTCATTATACTGTTCATAAACAAGGTCATACATTCTAGTAACATAGAAGCAATTACATTCTATCATTCTATATAACAAATGACACGGAGAGAATGGTTATAACGGACATACCAAGAAATAACATTGCGTGTAACCTCAACAGCTTGAATATTCTCCAGGGAATGAACCTTTTATTAAAACGAATAGTCAAAACATAAAATCACAAAATGCTTCTCAAAAAAAAAACTTAAAGCATCGTATTTTTATATTCATAGATGAAAATATATATGTTATCCTCAGAATATCTATGGTCCTATCCAAAAATTCAAATAATAGATATTTTTCCTAAATTGAGCTTTCATTTAGAAAAATAAAAGAGTACAAAAGGACCAGGAAAAGGCTAGCAAAAAAACAGACCAACAAAAATGGCAGACGAAGAATAGGAGCCACACTAGAAGGAAGAAACTAACCTAAGAAAATAAGAAACGGCTCCAACCCAAAATAATAAAGTCTAACAATTATGAAGGTCTTTGGAAGAAAACACCCAAAGCAAGGCACTGAAGACCTAGCAAGGGACAAAACCTCTACCAAAACCTCTCCACGCCCCTAAAGATTCTATTGTTTCTCTCAACCCAGATACACCATAATAATAATACCACAAAAAACCAGTACTCCATAAAATACTGCCCTTGTCCCTAAAAAAGCCAGCACTCCATAGAATACTACCCTTATCCCAGCACTCCAGAGAATACTACCCTTATCCCTAGAGGGAGGATGCGTCAAAAGCTCCTCCATCATAAGGCAACAATCCCTACCATGAGCCAAACAAACCCCAAAAGCCTCCAAAGAGCAATCTCAAAGAAAGTCTTGATGTGACTCTCCCCTTCCTCAAGACGACCCCCCTCTAAAGGTTTCGAAACAACTTTCCAATTAAGTAAATATGACTCTCCCTCTCTATCTAAGAAAGTCTCTCATGATATTTTCTAACCTAACTAAGTCATGATTGAAACGAAGATCCTAAACAAAGAAAGGTAATACAAGAAGATTCCAATTAACCTTAAGTAAGGTGAGTCTTCCCCTTTAGAAGAAAAAGGAAGAAAAATGCTATCCTTCAAGAGGGGAGCCTATTTTGAATTTTATCAAGTTATCAACCACTAGGGGATCTTCTTGTTTTTGTAGCCTCCTCTTTGGTTTAGTCATTTTTATAGTTACCCTATTTCTATTTTTTTTTTCTTTTTTTGAGTAAGAAACGAGTATTTCATTGATGTATGAAATAACCAAAAAGCCATAATGGCTAATTACAAGAAAGCCACCCAATTAGAGGTCAGGTCAATTAGAGGTCAGGGTAATTACCCTATTTCTATGATAATAGTAAATATCCTCTTAGGTAGCTTTTTGCAACTCCATGGCTTTTAGGAGGCCTTTGATCGCTTTTGTATACTTCATTTATCAATGAAATTTGTTTCTCACTCCCAAAAAAAAAAGGATAAAAAATGTTAAAATGTTATAATTAAATTTATCTGGCTATATGTATCTCTGCCTGAAAATAAATGTAGTTTCTTACCCTCTCAAGTTCTTCTTTGGTAATTTCTCTTGCCGGGATTGGATAGCATCTTCCAGGAAAAATTCCTACATGCAGCAAAATTTTTCTGTTGCTAACAGTCCAATGATAAAAAGTTGAAGGCAACAAGTTGAAAGCAGTAAACTACATCACCCCGGATATTAAATTGTAATCATCAACCCAACAATGTCATACCTTAAAAAACAATAGAAAATATGGTGAAGTAAAGATTACCAGCTGTAGACAAGCTAGCAGCAATAGCTCTCAAACGATCCGGTCTTTCTGGATGTGGGTGTGACTTCATTTCAACCTTCTCTAGCAAGAACACCACCAGCCAGAGGAAGTAAAGCACTTGTATACCAGTGACTTAAAAGTTCCAACAAAGTACTATGCGGAAATCAATTTCAATCTAAACCACAGACCCAGATATGTGACATGGATATAACAAGTCTATAACAAAATAAGAACACAATGATATGTCATTTTCATTATAAATAAATTAATTAATTAGATTATGTTTTTCTTAATAAGAAACCATTTCATTGATGATATGAAATTACAAAAAGAGGGGCAGACCTCAATCTAAGGGAGTTACAAGAAGTATCTCCAATCGGATAAAAGAGATGAATAGCTATAGTAATGAAAACATAAGAATATTTACATCAAGTAAGAACCAAAAGGACAATAGCATCAAAAAAAAGATCAAAAGCTGACGATATTTCTTTTCAAAGGTCCATGGAAAGCTTTTTAAAACAAAAAAAAAAGAAATTCTGATTCTTTATCGTTTGACCTTCAAAATTGGTGAGGGGCGTGATATCTCTTTCTAGAATGATTTCTAGCTGTTGGATGACTCTTTGGCACGTAAGTTCCCTTCTTTGTTACTCTTTAAAAAAAAGCAGCTGTAAAGGATTTTTGGATGGACGATTCTGAAAGCTGGAACCTTTGATTGAGGAGGAATTTGAAAGATGCAGAAATTGATGGTTGGGCTGTCCTCTTGCTGATATCTCTCTCTTGGATAGGGTTTCTCCCTCTTTTTGTAATTTTATAACATCAATGAGATTGATTCTTATCAAAAAAAAAATTACAAAATGGATAGATAAGGACTCCCAGTTGGCATCAATCTTGTCATAGAAACAAAATCTTTGGGAGGAAGCAAAAAATTTAACTAAATCCCAAAACTCATCAGGACTAGAGTAGGAAGCATCAAAAGCTCTTTGGTTTCTTACCAACTAAAGCCTCCGAAAGAGTGATGCCATTTGTTCGAACTTTGTCTTTGCGTTGGAAAAATGAACCCATAGCAGCTGAATCAGAGTCATCTTTAGCTATAGGAAATTTTTCTTTTTTTGAGATTTTGTAGTTTGTTAGGTTTTTGTCTTAGCCCTCAGCTCCTTGGCTTTCATTTCTTTGTATGGCCCGGACCTGTATGTTCTTTCATTTCTTCTCCATAAAATTTGGTTTTCATTGCGTTGGCCTGCAACTCACTTTTAAGCAAAGAATGGTGATTGGGGGGATGGGGTTTACGAGCCATGACCAGAAAGGTAAATTAAGGGTTCGAGCCCTAGTGGCCACCTAACTAGGCTGATATAATTCAACTTTTCAAACACCATATAGATCTATTACCTTCGGCGTCATGTATGTATTTATGTCAAAATCTCCAAAGACTCCAACTCATCTAAGGCGTTAATCATTAACTCCTGTTCCTAAATTCTAAAGTCTGCAAGGACCATCATGTTCCAATCTATCAATCATTTCAAATGCACATTAAATCTGAATTATAAACACAGCATGGAGATTTCCTCGTGAGAAGACATGTAATGCATCCAACACTCAGAGACACAAAATAAACAAAAATAGAAATATAATGCTTGAGAATCTAACACATAAAAGTTTTAAACAAACTCCCATACTTCTGAGTGCAGCAACATTCTCTCATCAAATCCAATTGCGGTGGAACTATTAGATGGCAGTGATACTTGTGAAACCATGCCTACAAATACAACAAAAGAATAGTTGCAGTTAGCCTCTTTGAGAGCAATAAATAATGACCAACAAAAGTACAAAAGAAGGCACGAGAACAAGAACCACACTGTATCAGAGACTACCCAAAACAGAAATTACAACCAGCAGCCTCAACTATTGGTGATCAAAAAGAGAGGGGACCAATAATGTCTATTCCCTTATCAAGTGGAAAATTAATGAATAAAAATTAAAGATAACACTAAATGTCTAATTGTAACAACATGTGATTCACCTTTACCGGTTTTTTTAGTTTCAAGCTCGGCCTCTAATGAATTTGAATCTTGTAAAGTTGGAGAAGCAAAAAACCCATGCTTCAGTATTCCAGATTCTCTGTGTTCTCCACATGACTGCATGAGTAAATATTCATTTAAATATGCCCACATCCTGACGTCAAAAAATATAAGAAAGCACAAAAAATAAAAAAATAAAAAGGAACATTATATTAAAAAGTAGTACAAACAGACGTCACAGTGTGCAGCAACATCAAGGTTGGCCATGGTACAATTGGTACAAAACCACTTCATTATTTCCCTGAGTTTCTGCAGCGGTTCCCAGTCACTATCATCATCGTCATCCTCATCATCATCCTCGAAGATGTCCCAGTTGTTAATCATATCTTGGAAGGTCATTTCTCTCTGCTGCCTCGACTTCTTCTGAAGTAAAACCATATTGTATTTACTCATAGTGCAGTAAAAAACACGAGAACATTGCACGACGGCTGTAATTTGCATCTACTAATGAAACCAAGTTTACTTACACGTGAAGTATCAGGTTGCATATCTATATTTAAGCTGCTTGGTACATCTCTATAAGAAGTTACGCCTGTATTATCTTCTCCACAGTTATCGTCTAAACAAGGCCTAGCACTGTTTCTATCAGAGCCTGATTTTCCACATCTTCCATTCAAAATTTGACAAGGGAGTTTGTCGCCTTGCTTTTGAAGACTTACTTCAGCATCTCCATCCACCAAACGACTCTTTTGAAGTGTTTCTAAAACCATTTTGTCTTGTGTTCATAGATTGGATGAAAACGTTCATCACTGAATATCATTAGCATAACAGTAACTACTACAAAGAACCAAAATTATAATGTGGTAAATAAATCATAGAGAGTAGATAAAGATCTAAATGATTGGTAAGAAATGATCAATACTTCCTCAAAAATAATAATAATTAAAAAATAAATAAATAAACATAAGAGTAAGAGGGAACAACACACATGGCCCTTGGGTACTAAAAGTTCTGGGCGTGGGCAGTAAAGGTCATTGAAATTAGTAACAACTTTCCCTCTAGACATTCAATATCCATACATAAGGCTACTAGAATCCAACTTTAAATTACAAGTTTTTACTATTACCTTAGCAACTTAGAAGCATTGTATTAAGAAGTCCAATAATAAACTAAGGTTAAATCAAACCCCTAGCAACTTATAGGCATTGTTTTGAAAAGTCCAATAATAAACTAAGGCCCTCGTTTATTTTTTCCCTCAGACATATCATGACTATTACCTTGATTATGTTCAACAACTCTATTCGCTTATGCATATTTAAATCTCCTCCCTCCTCAGCCTTTACCTTTAGATTTAGATATACCCACATAAAATTTTGTCACGTCTAACTTAACTCCCTAATTTCTTGGGAATCCTATAGCTGAAAAAAACCCAAATAATAATAATAACTTGTACCCACTTATTGAACTTGGGCGAACTACACCCCAGTACATGCAGCTATTTTAAAAACGTAAAGAAAAGAGAACACCAGCAATATGTGAGGGAGAGAAAATGCAAGTTACTGAAGGGATACGTTTATTGAAAACGCTAATAAGCTTCCAACATAAGGCCAATAAGAAGAACAAATAGAAACCCTAGCTTCCATCAGAAACATTTACAGACGAACATTTCTGATGGGAAATGGAAAGTCCATCGATACAAGATCAAATCGGTAAACTGTTCAAAAGGAGACAAAAAAATAGCGGGAAAAATGAAAAGAAGAAACAGGAGAAAGGGAGGGAAGAGAGAAATAATCAAACCTGCGCGTAAGCAGAATTGGGTTGCTTCCACGCCATAGTCGAAACACTAGTACGGCAGGGCAGCGGGAGTCTCCGGTTCATGTCTCTTAAGCTTGCAAATCGAGGTAAAAAAATCTACAATTTTGCAAACTAGTCCTTTGATTTTAAGGTAATATCACCTTTGCGTATCTTTTTTTTTTTCTTTTTCCTTGTGTCCGATACTATCGGCTAAGGCTTGTTATGTAAATTTTTATACCATGTGTTTGTGTTTTTGTGTTTTGGTTAAAAAAATATAGATTAAAATCTTATTCTAGCCCCTGTATTTTTTGGTTCGTTTTCGTGTACATTTAAAATATTCGTTTTGGTCCCTGCACTTTTAGAAGTAACGATTTAGTCTTTATTTACAAAAAGTTAATACAAATTGTACACATGAAAAAAAAATCTTTTAATGTAAAGTTCTAGTTACATTTCAAAAAATATATTGAGTATAGTATCTTATTGAAATTGTCATATAATAAATGAGATTAAAAATAAAATGAAGGGATCATAATAGTCCCGTTTTAAAAGTACATTGACCAAATGAACATTTTGAAAATACGAGAATTAAAATCAAAGTTAAAAGTACAATTACCAAAATGAATAAAAGTTAAAAGTTTAGGAACCAAAATATTATTTTAATTCAAACAAAATATTTGCTCGTACTTTTATTGAAATTACTTTTTAGTCTTTCAACTTTTGTTTATAACCATGTACTTTTACATTGATAATAATTTAGCTCGTTAATTTTAGTATGTCATTATTTTAATTACTTTAAAATGTGTAGTGATTTAGTATTTGTTGTGGGAAATCTCATCGAAATTAAGTACCAGATTTTAATATATAATGATTCAATCCCTATCATTCATAAACATATTTGGTATTTTGTTAGTTTGTCAATCTACGTGTATAAGAAACATCATTAAATCTTAAAAAAGAAATATTAGTGATAGAGACTAAACGTAAAATATGTCAAGCTACGTTGACTACATGGTTACATACTAAAATTTATATACTAAATTGTTACTAACTTAAAAATATTCAGTACAGAGTAGAGTTCATGGACTATGTTGAAGGTGATTTTTCACTCACCACGTGGCAACCCCTGATAGGGTAATGATGATGAGTCAACATAAAGACTAATTGGTGCAAGGGTTACTGCCTCAAAGGCTGAGCTGAGCTACCACGTAGTTCGATCGCCTAAAAGATAAACCGAGCCAACCTAACATCTCGCACATAAGCAGCTTCATTTACCAGCTACGCCGAGTATGGACACTCCTTCAAGAATGGATCTCCGATAAACTCCACGACAACACTTGTGATTCTCGGTACCTTAAAGAACCATTGGAGGCTTGTCGAACACCTTGTCGAAAGTTTTACCTATAAATAGAGATCTTCCGCATCATTTTCAGGTACGCAAATTTATATTCTTGCTTGGATATAGATTGGCCAACCGCTAACTTTAGTGATAAAGTGTTTTCTCTTTTGTAGATCTCCTACTTTCCAACACTTCAACTCACCAATCGAATCAAATAGTTCGAACCGAGCTTCGTAGACTTGGTCAGAATTTCAATGAAACAGGCTAGATCATTAATTGACAACAAAAATAATTTTTAATCTTACTTAGTAAATAATAATAATAATTTAATTAGAAAATAATAATTATTATGAAATAAACTTTAAAATAAAATTGAGAAAGTAATAATAATAATAAATTAAATTGAAAAGATAATAATTATTATAAAATAAACTAAAAAACAAATTTTAAAAAAGTGAATAATAATAATAATAAATTTAAAAAAGATTATAATTTTTATAAAACAAACTTAAAAATAAATTTAAAAAGTAAATAATAATAATAATAATAATAATAATACAATTTAAATTTAAAAGAAGCAAATATTAGTAATATTAATAAAATAAGATAATAATATAATAAAATAAGTTTGAAAAAAATTAATAAAATAAGATAATAATATAATAAAATAAGTTTGAAAAAAATTCAGATTAAATAAAAGGCCGCCGTTGCCGGGGATCGAACCCGGGTCACCCGCGTGACAGGCGGGAATACTCACCACTATACTACAACGACATTTTAATATTAAATTAAAATATTAATAATTTATAGGTTTATTTATTATTATATGAATTAATTAAGTTTTCCCAAGCTAAGTTCAAAATTTCACCTCCACTTGAAAGATTTAGATCTCTCGACCCACGTAATCCCAGATATTGTACTAGAAAAATGAAACATGAGCATAACTCAACAGTAATTGACTTGTATTCCTTAATTCGATGTTGGAGGTTTCATCTCTCATAGCTCCCATATTGTTGTACTAAAAAGAAATAAAAAATATTATTATAACCAACACTGTTTTAGAGTTTTATAAACAACGTTATTATAGAATTGTAGGACTATTTTTAATACATACAACAACATAATAAAACTTATCACATCAAACTTGTTCTATTACTAAAGAGTAATGTCTGATAAATTTTAGTAAAAAAAAAATATGAATGATGATAAAATTTTTAAAGGCACAAGAAAACTGATTGAAACTAAAGTTAAAACACCATATATAGATTGAAAATATAATTTAATCCAATCATAGGTATATATGGTTCTTATTTTGTTTTATCTTTTTCCCTACCGCTCTTACCTACTTTAAAAAACTAATATGCTCGACCTAAATAAAAATTTGTTGCCTGTATAAATATCTATTCAATAATATTATTGAAACTAAATGACGTGATATTTTAAAATATTGATATAAAATACATTTTTTCTAATATCCAATATTAACCTCGTCAATCAATTTAAAAACTCACACGATACTATTGTAGGATATTTTATAGTAGGGGTGTTCAAAATACCCGACGAACCCAACCCAATCCTAGGTTGGGTTGAAACAAACCTTGGGTTGGGTGGGTTGGAAAATTCCCAACCTGGGTTGACCCAACCCTGTAATGCTTTATATATATATATATATATACTTTTCATCTTTAATCTCAACCATCCATTAGTTTTAATCATAACCTTTCATTTTAGGGTTTTCTTCCTTTTTTTTTTCATCTTCTTCCTTTTTCCT